AAAAAAAAAAAAAAAAATCAATCCGGCTCGATAATGATAATGCTCGGCTTGACCCGACTAGTTTGTAGCATTAAAAAAAAACTGAATAGCAGGTGCGCAACAGTTCACACCGACAATGAGGTTGAAAGCTGGTTTTTATTCACATGAAAATTCATTATATTTTATACCAACTCTATCTATCCTGTGCTGTAATTCCAACTCCATTCATCTTTTTCCTTTTCAATTTTCTCCTTCGTTTTTGTTTTATCATCTCAAATCCCAGTTATCTGAAGATCAAATTTTTGAAGCCAAGAAACAATTATCTGCACACACACACACACTGTATATAACAGCAGCAGAATATGTTTCTGCTTATAATACAGTAGACAGTCGTCACCATTTATACGTCTTTGTTGACTTGAAGCAAACAAATGATTGGATTACATTTATAATTTGCTTCGCTTTCTTAATTTTTCTCCACCTCTTATCTTCTATCTTGCAAGGAAGATCAGAGTTTACATGGTGCTCTGTTTAGGGCACACGTATTTGATGCAGAATTTGGTCTTGATTTGGGTTTCAGCTTCTAATTCATAGTTGCCCGAGTGAAAGTATTGCCTTCCTTTTGGGTATTTTTGATTATACGAGCTGGGTTTTTTGGATTGTTAATGATTTTTTGATTTAATTAAGCAACTGAGGATTGAAGTAATAAAGGGCATAACAATGTCTTGGAAGAGCAGAGGAATGGAGTCGGTGCCTTCGAAGAGTTTTGCTTCGAGAAAACTCACAGTTCTACTTTGTATTGGATGCTTTTGTGCTGGGATGCTCTTCACCGACAGGTTTTGATCTTTTTATTTGTATGAATTTTGATCACACTGATCTGGTTTGCTATCATCAGGCTTTGTTTGTTTTGTGAAGATATGAATTGTGTGGTTGGGATGTGCTTTGAGAATTACAGATGATGCATATTTACATATACTTATTGCTCCCTTTTGGGTAGGTGGGTGTGCTAATTTTTTAATCATCGTCATTGTAAAAAACCAAAATCACTTTTAGATCTTCATTTGCAATAGCTTATAATGATTGCAGTGTGTGCTAAAGTGTGGTAGTGGGAAAGTTCACAGACTAAGTTCATGATTCCAGGGCTTTTTAGAAAACTTGTATGGAACTCGGGTTATTTCAACTTGGAACACAACCTATTTATATTAAAAGTAGATCACCGGTTGAGTATTCCGAATATTTAGGTGTTAATACAATGTGACTTAGGTGATGAGTTAGTCATAAATCTTGTATTGGATGGAAGCAAAAGGATCTCCTTTGATTTTATTATTACTAGTTTTGGACTCATGTTAAGATGCTGATTTTTTTTTTTTAGATACTTCAGTTCCAGATTCGAAAACCAATAGAATTTCTACATTTCTCATTTTAGTGACCCTATAAATTTGCAGTAGCATAGTGTTGTTCCCTCAATTTTTTTGTTCCCCCATTTTTCGTTGCCATCCATCTACTCTGAGATTACAATTCTGTCGCAGCATATGTTGATACATATACCTCACTATACTTTACCAAATATGACGTGATTTCCTAATAATTTATATCTGTATGAACTCAATTTGCCTCATACTGATTTTCATGAATGCAATCAATATAGTTCGACCTTGTTGTTGACAGAATGTGGTCTCTGCCTGAAGCTGAAGATGCATCACTATCATCTGGGGTTGCTGGTGGAAAAGTTAAATTAGCTACAGATGGCTGTGATAAAAAAGTACTTTCATAATAATTTTTGCATTGAGCACCTTTTGCTTAAGGTGCAAATAAAATTGATTTATGGGTTAATGATCTTTTTTCCCCATGTTCTTGTAAAGGATGCAAAAGGTGAGTCGTGGGACGCATTTAGAGAAATTTCAAAGACCCATCATTCTATGAAGTAAGGCCTTTGGACCGTGTGACGTATTTTCATCAGTCACATAAATTGCATTACTCAGTCATAGACGCGTACAAAATGTAGGGACCTAGATAAAACAATTTCGAATCTGGAGATGGATTTAGCTGCAGCAAGGTCTCTTCAGGACTCCCTTCTCAATGGGTCCCCCATATCCGAGGAACTGAGGGTGCCCGAATTGACCAAGAAAAGAAAATATTTGATGGTGGTGGGCATAAATACTGCTTTTAGCAGTCGAAAGAGAAGAGACTCGGTGCGTGCTACTTGGATGCTACAAGGTGCATAGTGATGCTATATTTTGTTTCATTTCTATTTTTCCTTGTTCTTTTCTGTTTGTTCGTTTGAATGTGTCATGCAAACGGCTTTGTTTGTTACATTAGCTTTGATGATTTTTTTTCCCTTTTTTATTTGGACAACTAGGTGATAATCGCAAAAAGCTAGAGGAAGAAAAGGGCATCATAATCCGATTTGTAATCGGTCACAGGTGGGAAACATGTCTACTGACTGTGATTGATGTTAGGCAGTATTTAGTGACTTTGATCTCTTTCCAGAAGACCCCTGTAATTAATAAATTACCTCATTAGAATGCAAGATAATAGTATCATCCTTTTTGTGTTATTAAGTGTTTTTTAGCAAGCAATTTGACATGGAACAATATCTAATACGATGCTTTGACTTTGGTTCATCGGCTGGTCACCAGCGCAACAACGGGTGGCATTCTTGATAGAGCCATTGAAGCAGAAGATAAGAAACACGGAGACTTTTTGAGATTGGTATTTCTGCTTCTCGTTTTCACTTTGTATTTTGTTTTTGCAAATACTATCGTGAAAGATATCGCATGTCTGACCCCCTCACTAATGGAACTCACGCCCTCATATTTTATGTATTAAAGGAACATGTTGAGGGTTACCTTGAACTTTCTGCCAAGACAAAGATCTATTTTGCCACTGCTGTTGCACTATGGGATGCTGATTTTTACGTAAAAGTTGATGACGACGTGCATGTTAACATTGGTAAGCAAAAAATTGACACGTCATTTTTAAGTTTAACTACCAAATGTAGGTTTCATATGAGGAGTTCCTGTCTGCTTTCAAATGTATGTATTTTTGGTAACGGACAAAATCTGTTTGGATTTATTCTCTGAAGTCTTGGAATGTCTATGCTCGACATATACGGAAATAAATAAAGAACGAATGAATAAGGTCAAGCCAGATCAGATAAGTTTGTTGCTAATGAAATTACGAATCATATGGAAATTATGTATTTTTGGCAACGGACAACATCTGTTTGGACTGTTTCTCTGAAGTTTCGGCGTGTGTATAGTCGTCGGGTATGAAAATAAATAAATAAATGAATAAGGTCAAGCCAGATCAGATAAGTTGGTTACTTATGAAATTATGAATCATATGCACTCAAGACATTCTTCTTGGTGTTTTTGTGCACTGTGTGCAGCCACACTTGGAGCAACGCTAGCTAGGCATCGTTTGAGACCAAGGGTGTATATTGGGTGCATGAAATCTGGGCCCGTCCTAGCTCAAAAGTAAGCAAGTGTCCACGAGTCAGCCTGAGTAACATTTTTTAGGAGACATTATTAGCATTTTCTTGATTTCTTCAAGTTTCCCTGAAATTACCTTATATTTTCATAATTTACCTACAGGGGAGTGAGATATCATGAGCCTGAGTATTGGAAATTTGGTGGGCAAGGAAACAAGTATTTTCGCCATGCAACAGGGCAATTATATGCTATTTCAAGAGACTTGGCAGCTTACATATCAATAAACCAGTATGTTCTATTTTTCCACCGTATGCTAGTTTCGAGTTCATGTTTCAGGCAATTTAGTTTGGTGAATAAATTTGTTTTGATAGGCACGTACTGCACAAGTATGCAAATGAGGATGTTTCACTGGGATCGTGGTTTATTGGGTTGGATGTGGAGCACATAGATGACCGAAGATTATGTTGTGGGACCCCTCCTGGTATCCTTCTAATCTTTTTTCTCTTCTTTTGTCATATTGGTTGAGAACAAAAGACAACGCTCTTTCTAATTCACAACTATATCTTCCAAAATGTAGGTTTTTGTAGCCATGTTGTGCTCCAAAGCACAATCGCCCAATATAAGAGCAAATGACATAATACATAACCGCGAATAGATTTTCCTTTTTTCTTGCTTAAATGACAAATTACTACTGGGGAACTTGGGACCCTTCATGAATCACGACTACACTAACGAAAAACGCATATTTAATAATTTGCTCTCTTTTTTTTTCCCCTTTTATTTTAACTAGTAACCATGGAAAATGGACAAACTAGAAGTCTTCTCTGGTAATGGAAGTTATTTGAAGAAAAACGGGTCTACAAAACTTCTAACCGCTTAAGTTTCTTAAAATTGGAACCACATAATTATTATTATATAATAATAATAATAATAATATTATTATTATTATTATTATATATAATACAATAATATTATATTATTAAATTTGTTATTGTAATAATCGCTGTAATTTGTTATTATATTAATATTAATAAATTTGTTATTGTAATAATCGCTTTAAGCAATAGGTCAGATACACTCATTTGCACAACATTAATTCTTTTTTAATTCTAAAAAAAAAATATGACATGAATCTCCTATCTATTGTGATATTCATTCCCAGATTGCGAGTGGAAGGCCCAGGCCGGCAACATATGTGTGGCGTCTTTCGACTGGACCTGTAGTGGGATTTGCAATTCGGCCGACAGAATGAAGGACGTGCACAAAAGATGCGGTGAAGGTGGAAATGCCGTGTGGAGTGCAGATTTCTAGTGTGCTTTTTATGCATCTCAGCATCACATATGTCCTATCTCAGGACATTTGCCACTGAAGTTCATGAAGGTTAATATTTCAATTTCAGAAAATATGTTGTCATATACATATATATATAATAATTGTAATATATAGAGAATATAGGAAGAGAGAGAGCCACTCGTGTTTTAGCCGACTAGAATAGATTGCTATATCAGCTCAATTAGGAACTAGGAGCAGAGTTCATAAACCACGTTGCTGAGTTTTTGTTATTTTTGTAATAATAAATGTATATTGTTGAGCTAGTTTTTGCTGCTCTTTGCCTTGTTTGGGTCATTGTTATTTTTATCTCTCCCATCCCTTTGAACTCATTCTTTCTTCATTATTCTGATCAACCTGGTTTGTGGCTTCATTATTATTATTTTTTATTTTATTTTCATAAACCTGATAATTTGTCTCAGTTCAGGGTTAATATGCAACCTCAGTTTCCCTATGACCTTTGCGTTAGCAAATTTCGGACAAGAATTCAAAATTAAACTAATCGCGTCAACCCATTGAGTAGGGTGAACCTTGATTGTTGAACTGGTTCAGCTCGACGGGTCATGAGCAGGGTGAACCTTGATTGTTGAACTGGTTCAGTTCGACAAGTAACCCGCTCAAAAATTCAAAATTCAATGAAAAAACCAGCGGGTTTGAAAGTGTGTGTTACTCTCTTGTGTTCTAAAAATTGCGTCACACCCCTTTATATTAACTAAAAGGGACACACGCTCCTTTTTTTATTATTATTTTTCTCGTTAACGGTGTTAATCTTTTTGTAAAAATCCCGTTATACCCGAATATTGCCACAACCACACCACTCCAGGATGAGTGTTATATCTCGTTAAGTTTTATATATATGGACATCACAAAAGGTAAACCAAATTAAATTTAGATGATGACGTAAATTATATTAAATTAAATTAATAAAATATAAATTTACCATGAATTAAAATATAATAAACTAAATTATATTATTAAATGAAAATAAAAATAATGAAAATAACTAAATTATGAAAAGGTAATTATCTATTTTATTTCTTATTACTTATTTTAAATTATATTATTCCATAATATTTTGTTGCATTATTCATTTTATTTCCTTTTATTTTATCTTGGTTAACAAATTTGATATATTTTGTTTAAATTAAGAAAATAAAATAAAATAAAAATAAAATTTACTAACTAAAATTATTTATTTATAATTAATATTTTTATCATATTAATATAAGATGTTTATTTGTTTGAATTTATTATTTCATAATAAGTTATTTTATTTATTATTTAATTTCACTTTACCATTTTTATAATTTTTTTTATCTTATTTTATATTTTTTCCGCAATGATAGAGAATTTTATAGATAAAATCGCACAAATGTGCAAAGATATAGTCCTAGCTGAATAATACAACCAAAAGCTGAAAAGACTGAGAAGACAGATTCAAAGACTGCCTAAAGCCGTCACTAGTAACGCTAGAAACCAAGACACAAGACTCACGACACACTAATAAAAACTACAAAGCTCCTAAAAAGAGAATAAAGACGATCCCAAAAGGATAATACTTGCTTTCACTTGGGCAGGACAGAGACCAAAGATCCAAACAAAAAACACAAGACCAAACAAACAAACTAAACAGTAGACACACCTATCCTAAAAGCAGAAAAAACAGAACAAAAGCAGAAAATAAAAACAGAGCCCTTCCCACAACAGATACCAATCCCATCACAATGCACCAGCAGAATCACAAAAAATCACCCCAAGAGACCGAACCGCAGTCTAGGAATCTGCTTTTGAAACTTTCGAAACGCCTAGTTGAAGTCGATACTCGAGATCCCGGACAACTCCAAGAAGTGAAGTCGACCCACAACTGGAGGAGCATCGACCAGCGCCCCCCCTCCCCCCGACACACACCAGCTTCCTGAGACCTAGCCAACACCACTGGCCTAGATCTGGGCGTGTCGGTCATCCCACGTCACAACACCAGCGAATTAGGACACAAGAGGCTTGAATCGACCCACCTCAGCCCCAGCCGACTCGTCTCAGACAAACCGAGCAACCAAGGTCGCACCCAACCCTGACCACACACCACCTTTCAGCAACCCATCGCGATCCAGAAGCACAACAGTCGAGCCCGCCACCGGCGGCCAAGCAGAGATGAAGCCGACCATCGGGCCAACCACCATCGACACGACATGGAAGACCAGCAGTCGAGACCACCACCGGCGATCAAGAAACAATGAGTCAGGCCAACGGACATTTGAGATCCACCATCAGCGCAAGAAGCTCGGAGAAGGGTACGCAACTCCAGGCCATCTGCCGGCTAAGGGACAAGCTAACCACTAGGGAAGGAACGCTGCAGTAACTCAGAGGTTCGGACGATCGGAGAGAAAAGGGGATTAGGGTTCGGAGAGAAAAGTGGATTAGGGTTCGAAGAGAAAAGGGGAAGCCGATTTTGGTTTTTTTTTTTTATTTCAATTCTTATGTTTACTTATTTTAACTATTTTGATTTTATTTATTTTTTAATTTATTTTTATTATTTATTTACAATTTATATAATTAATATTATTTTAATAAGTAAAAAAAAATTGTTTAAATTATTAAATTTTAATCCATGCTACTATAATTATTTTATCTTACTTTATTATTCATTTTTAATTATTTTATTTTAATTTGTTTTATTGAAACCTATTATTATTATTTAATTTATATTACCTATTATACTTTCATTTTATTTATTTAATTTGCTTTATTTATTAATTCCTTTGGATATGATATTGTAAATATAGTTGTGTTCAGCAATTACACAAGAATCTATATATGACTTAGTGGTTTAGGGGGTCATGCTTATTGCCTTGGAACCTCGGTTTGAATCCCACTATTAGAGAAATTATACTTTCTGCAATAAAATTTAAGAAGGTATAAAGGCAAATTAATAATTATGCAAAATAAAAAATTAAATAATTTTCACCAATTACTTTATCATTTCTCGAAATGATAAAGAATTTTATAGATAAAAATGCACAAATGTGCAAAGATACCGTCCTAGCTGAATAATACAACCAAAAGCTGAAAAGACTGGGAGGACAGATTCAAAGACCGCCTAGAGCCGTCACTAGCAACGCTATAAACCAAGACACAAGACTCACGACAAACACGACAAACACTAATAAAAACTACAAAACTCCCAAAAGGAGAATAAAGACGATCCCAAAAGGATAATACTTGCTCTCACTTGGGCAGGACAGAGACCAGAGATCCAAACAAAAAACACACGACCAAACAAACAAACTAAGCAATAGACACACCTATCCTAAAAGCAGAAAAAGTAGAATTAAAAAACAGAGCCCTTCTCACAACAGATAACCAATCCCAGCACAATGCAACAGCAGAATCACAGACAATCACCCCAAGAGACTGAACTGCAGTCTAGGAATCTGCTCCTGAAACTGTCGAAATGCCTAGCTAAAGCCGAAACTCGA